AACAACCGGAAAGGAGATGTCCGGGTAGAGTAGTTTCGAGAATGCTGATAGGTGGTACATACTTCTAAAGGAAAGCAAGTGAGAGAAACAGATTGACAAATCTTCTGTATTGAATGTCAGACATTTATATACTGCACTGGGTCTCGTAGAAATAATAGCTTATCAATGGCCATTAAGCAGAAGTGTTTGGGATTATAATATTTGGTCATTAGTGAAAATGAAGTCGTACCAGTCTTATAGAGTTTGCGATATGAACTTCTCAAAGTGGTAAAAAGATTAACTAAGACAACCGCACAATAATTCGGGGGTAATGGTGTTTCTTGTGAAGAGCAACTGGATTTGCGTGACAGAATTTTAAACAGCATACTTTGCCTTTAACCTGGAAACTTTGGATTACTTATATGAATGTACGATTGCAGAATCTGAAGAAAATTTATTAAAAAGTATATTTTTCATTTATATATTAGCCTAATAAAATGATAGGGATTTTTAAAAGAGTAATTTATCTTTTTTGGCAGTTTATGATAATTAGAAGTATTTGAATTATAGTATGAACTAAGAATCCCAGAAATCACGTGAGTGGATCAAGAACTACTAGATAAGCACGAACGAATGTATTGTATTTAGAATTCGAAATCAGGCATTCAACAAGTACAAAGGAGTTATTAGTTCATTCAAACACCACATCCGCCACAGCTTAAATTGGAGTCTAAGTGTCTGTAATCAATTGTACGTCGTTTTTTTCAAGTTCATACTGTGTCTGTATTGGATAAAGACTCCGTATTATCTAGAATGCACTCATTAGTATTAGAATTAATAACCGAAATCGGAACAGACCCACATGCTTCCTGGGATTGTGTATGATCATCATGTCGGTTGAGTACTAAAACTACTGCTACCTAGAATTTCAACCATAGACATTCAGACTATCCTCCCCCACGAAATAATGTCGGATCTTCATATCCCCAAGTTATGAATAATGTGGCTCCATTTAAAACATCTTTCTCAATTTGACTAGAGTAAACATCGGAAGTGAATTTATGATAAGGACAAACAACAGTTGATATGGAATTATCTGAATTGTAATCAGAATCGAGCTCATTTAATACTCGTGCTTCGCACTGAACAAGTTTCCCACAAGAAACAAATGCATTGTGAGGACAAGTAATATTTGATATGACATCAAGATTTGATTCTTCTGAAATGGTTTCCTCAAATTTATTAAGAATGTCATTGCAGAGCAAAGGATCATTAGAAAAATCAGCATCAATCAAAACTACATCAGGTTTTCGATCATGATTAGGTTTATCCGAAATATTTTCACCAGATTTGTGAGAAATTTCATCAGAAACATGTGAATCATTAGGAAAAATCATATCTGGTACAATAACATGAGAAATCTGATGGGTTGATTGATTAGGAATTGTTGCCTCGCAAGGATTCTGAGTTTCATTTAACTCTGAACTGCTATATGACTCTAAACTGTCTTTTGAAATCGTCGATAAAGATAAATGATCATTATAAATGCTCAACTTAATAGAATCAGAATCACAAGACTTAATATTAGTTGCAGCAAGATGAACAGTAATATTACAAACTGACTGAATATGTCCAACATCACCACATTTAAAGCACTTAGAATTACGAAATTTACATGAATTAAAAGAGTGGAACCTGCCACAGTACAAACATTGACCAAACTTATGCCCATCCTCGTCAACTGCATTGCAATTCCCAAATGAATTATCTGCATAATCCTGAGTATGCACTGGGATGGGGCGACGTAATGTAGTGGAATTTCTTATATCCTCATGAATTATTTTACGAAATCTCCCTTTACCGCATTCGAAATTTGTATACCTAGCATAGTCTAGAAGTAGTTCCTTGAGAGTTGTATAAGGAAGAGAAATGGGCTTTTCCAGTAAAGCCAAAAGTTTTATTAAGCTATATGCTTCTTTTCCTATGAATGTGAGAAAATGTGCCACAATATTAATATCCTCATCATCTTTCTTGGTCATGCTCCAGATTTCAAACCTTTCCAAATAGTCCTCAAAAGCTTCAGAAGTTGAATGAATATCTAACTGTTCCATCGCAGGCCCCATCGCGACGCCAATATGATAATTAGAAGTATTTGAATTATAGTATGAACTAATGATCCCAGAAATCACGTCAGTGGATCAAGAACTACTAGATAAGCACGAACGAATGTATTGTATTTAGAATTCGAAATCAGGCATTCAACAAGTACAAAGGAGTTATTAGTTCATTCAAACACCACACAGTTATTGGTATGTTACAATATGGACCTAATAAAACCCTAGTACTGTAACCCGAGTCACTGACGAGACAAGTGTAACTCGTCAGGATAGGTGAGCACATTAAATAATATGAAAGTCATTCCATTAGCTAAGATCAGGCCTAGAATCTGAATTGTATAAGTCGTAGTACAGTTCTGTCGAAATATTATTTCACAGACTTTGAATTGCCCTATTGAGTTGAATATATTTTTCACCGATGTAGCCTCGTAAGAGTGGACTTTCGTAGACAACTATTTATCGTCGAAAACCCATTATTATTTGAAGCAAGCAATCGTTTAATACATTACCATGCCAGACCAAACAGGGTTGATGGTGTCTTTTTCAAGGAAATCTGGATTGAGACACTACTAACTGCATCTTGTCAAATTTTATGTACATTTTTAACCACAAGATGTAGAGAATCTCGTTGAAACTCCCTATGCATCTTCACACGTAACCCTAAATTATACTTTATGAATAAATCAATCTCTGGTTTACATATTCTCCATCAAATTGTTGCAGTTCCAGTGTTTCGCCGCTAGTTCCAGAACTGAGAGATCTTCGAAGCCACAGTACAACGAACTCAATCACATTAACAATTAAATTAGATGTCCCATAACTGTCGATCTTCAAATTATCTGAAAGTTGAAGTCACTCTGGGTCTGGAACTCGAAGTGATAGGTAAAAACTTTTAAAACAATGATGACGGGGAAGTACACTTGTTGGTGGCATGGATAGCGTGATGAAAATAGTATCAAACATGCCACAACACCAAAATCTTATAGTCTTTCTCAACGTTAAAGAAACAGGGTGACCAGACAGCAATGGTGTCAGCTGTTACTGATCAGACATTTAGTCACCTTTCGAATTTTCTATGTTGTACTTTATGGTGTACGAACATGCAAGGGACCATCTATCCATGATGTAAATTTTAGTTCAGTCAAACAAGACCTCATTGGCAACGGCCCAATACCATACTGTGAACAGATGTGATGTGAAATATTCATACAATCGAAGGTCAGATAACAAAGATGTAGTCGAAGAAGACTGGATTATATCATGGTCAGTATACATAAAGCCCGCATTGAGATGGGCATGTTCAAAAATGGTGATAATTTAAGGAAACGGTTAAAGCATTTTAAATGATTAACAATAGATGCATCTAAGACGAAAAATGGACTAAGCGCACTGATGAAATCGCCAATAGCAATATACTTACATTTAAGAGCAAGAATGAAGGTTATTATTGCACAAAACCTGTTGAAATTGAGATTATCCACTACATGAACACATTTTCAAGAGCATACATAAAGGGTGTTACACAGGTCATGGTGATTAAAAAACCAGTTAGCTGATGAAAAGTCTACAAAATTCCTGTGTTTGAAGTGGTCACGAGTTCATCTTGTCTGCGAATGGAACACAAACTCTGTGCCAAGGACCAATATGCTAACTATTCTGATGAGTCCCGGCCCCACTAACTAGAGTGAGAAGTCCAAGTTCGAAACGGGGAAATATATTCCGAAAGCAGCCAGAAGCACGAGTAACCATAAACAGTCTGGTCGAAAATACACTCATCTATGTATAGGTTTGTACACCCATTTTTTCATTTATAATCGGAATAAATCACATATATGAAAAATATTTCATATAAGAATGTCGTACATTATACAGGACAAAAATGTCACAGGGGAAAATGAAAAAAATACTGTACTGAGTGATCATTAAATTGAAATAAACGGAATTAATTCATCTCATCATAACAAAAATGTTTCCAGCCAATCTTTAATGACGAATATCATCATTCGCGAATCAAAATATCCGTCTCGATAGCTAACAGATGGTGGTGAATTTTCAGTGAATATCTATTACCACTATTATCTGCGCCGGTACATTGTTGCCATATCTATATATTCCATTTCTTTATGTGGCTTTAAACCCAACGAACTACTTTAAAGTTCTTAGGAAAAGCTCGGATTGACAGTCTCAACACAAACAAAACTTCAAGAACACATTCAAAGGATTTAACTGGGGTTGTGTCTAATTAAGTAACTGGTATCTGTTGCTTACATATCAAGATTGATTTTGAATCCCTGACGGTTGCGAAACATGAACCGGTTAAAACTTCTGTGACGATCACTTAGATGTTGGTAAGGCGTTTGTCTCATAGGCTCATATTAGATAACTAGTTTTCGATGAGGGTAGGACCGCTCATTAAAGGACGAAAATTCAAACCAGAACTTTTTTCACTACGAGTTTGTCTTATCCCTGATTCTTTTCCACATTAATACATATGTAAAGAAAAGCTTGTATTTTTTGAGATTATCTTCCACGATTTATAGTCCTATCTTACCGTTTTTAACATGACTGTCCAGTGACATGACAGATGCTGTTTCTAGTGAGACTCATGTCCTTTGAGTAATAAACATAGATACTTTTACGGTATAACAGATAAACCAGGAAATTAGATGTGATTGAATCTTTTAAATTCTTACCATAGATCTTCACGAAGTACTGGATATTGAATTGGTGCATTGGAAAATGAATGTAACTGTTGAAGTTATTTAGTTGTGCTCTAACTTTCATTTTTATGGCGATTGTTCGAAACTTCCATTTTCTTTCGTTAGGTCATGCTTGATTCAGCATTTACATCTTAAGCCCACATCTCTTAATTCTACATGCGAATTTTATAAAACCGCTTATGTAATGGACTTGACGTGTGAACCATTGGCCCCATTACGACAAGTAAATTGTCATCATAAGTTAACAGAAGTACAAACAGAGTCAGGAGAGATTCAGGAGTCCAGACATTTCACGAAGACCATTGGCAGGAGAAGCTTTGGCTGCTTACACAGTCAAAAAGTCACGTCGTGCTAAGTCAACGGTATGTTCTTGCAACTTTGCATCATTTTTAAGGAACCTACTGCTCTTGATACCAACGATCCACTTGTGAAATGTCCTGACGAAGTATGTGATATATTCGAATAAAATGTATTTTTTAGGAAGAGAAAGTAAAGGAAGTTCTTAACGATGAAAGCATGGACAAACGGTGGTCATTAATAGCCAAAAACTACGAAAATGTAGTATTTAAGATTTTAGTATATTTTTAACTATAATAGATGTCGAAGCAAGAGATTATGAATAACTACAGATTACTCATGAATGAAAAACTACGATTGGAAAGGTTTCTGTCCATAATGACCAAGAATAATGAGATGGTAAGGCTCTTAGTGCTTTGTAGATCTGAAATTATATTTAATATAAGTTAGTACATGTCGTTTAATTTATTTACACCTTTTTTACTCACTTTAGAAGATTGCTCATAAATCCTGAAACCTTGCAAATTTCGAAGATCTATGATGCTTTCTTATGGTTTTAAAACTTTCAGTATCTTTACTGTATGATTATTCTCAAATTACATTGATACTGACCCACATAAAAATTCTGTCCCTTTACATGTTTTTTTGCATTCGCTTTATATTAGTGCGGTACTGATTACTTGCTATTCCTTTGCTGTTTTCTTGAAAGAATCTATGAATGCAAATCAAAAACTATAAACAATATTCACAATCGAACTCTTTAGTGTAGAGGATTCAGAGCTCTTATCTTTGGACTTTTAACGTATAATAATAAACTAGATGCAGTCGAATTCACCTGTGTGTGACATTGATTACTCTAAAGTGTTGTGTTTTTTTTTGCTTATGGCTAATAAGATTTTACTCTGTGTGGAGTAATAGGTTTTACTAGAATTCAGCCGATAATTTACAAGATTTTTTTTCTGGAATATAAGAAACGAAAAACAGGCAGTTACCATCCAAATTGTGATAAAGTTGAATAGTTATAAATCGCCAAATCAAACTGAGGTACTGAATGAATTGGAAGCTGCCATCGGATTCCAAGTGATTATGCATTTATATCACTATATTTAAACATATGTTCATAAATATGTTTTGCATAGCCTTTTAAATCCAAGCGTCGCTACGGTGTGTTTAGTATATCAAAAACAAAGTAAGCTGTAAAAAAGTGTTCACCATAATTATTAAGGTTCTTTTCCTGGACATTTCCTGATGCTCAGTGAACTTGAATAGACAAAACATTTGCTGGGTTGACCACCACTAGTCAAGTAGCTGTAAGTTATAGACGCAGCTAAACTGTATAAATATTTAATCAAAAGTTTTGCAGTCTTAAAAGCCATCTACAACATTTACCTTCAAAGTCGTTAGACTACAAATATATTTTAAGTGAAAAAAGATCCCTGAAGCAATAAGCACTTTTTTCTATAATAAAATCGCAATTTATTACGGTGGAACACTAGTTTCCTTGTGTGTTTATTAAGAGCTCTCATAATGAAAACATTTGATATGAAGCAACTCCACAAACTGGACACAAAATCATGTCCTAATGTGAGGTTTTACTTCAGTTGCATTATCTAAGTATTCTGTTTTCATTCATGATAAATAGTAGGTAAAGATATGTACTTTGGGCAATTGTTTTATGAAAATTGTACAAAAGTAATGATCGGTTGCATGGTTTTGGACATTAAACCACGTGCTTGAGATATAACGGAGGTTTTAGCAAACAAAGCATCTCAAAAAACACTGATGGATTGGTTAGTATGAGGTGATTTGACGCATAACATAAATGGTTTTTGGGAAGTGAAAACTATTTCGTTACTTTAGTAACAAAAGGCAAAGAAATCAAAACCAAGTTTAAAAGAGTAGTCATTTTAGTAACAACTATTTAAAATAGAGATAATATTTGTTTCAAATTTAGCTTTAGGCATTTTTTAAAAATATAGGAGAATCAAATGTTTCATCGAAGCTAGCGGTTTCGTCTCGAATAAATTTCACCAGAGTATGGGTTGTAATTAAAAATACGAATTAAAAAGAATTAGTATTGAACTTTGCTTTGTAAATATGTTGTTTGATTAGATATATAATCCATAAAATTTATTAAATCTATTATTTCGATAATCTGTTTGCTGTAATTAGGAGTAAAATGGGTAACAAAGTGCGCAGTAAGGGTTTAGCAAATTAACCTGTAACTGTAACTTAAATGTCTTATTCTAAACAGCTTTACATTTCCTAAATTCATGGTTCCCTAAGGAATAAGTGTATCTAAAACTAGCTACATACAGATACAGCTTTGATTGAACGTTTAGTTGGAAAACGTTTTGTTTAATTTGATAAATATTTGTTTTTCTCTGTATGTTTAATTACATAGCTACATTAAGTTCATACACATTATACTTTAGAATTTGAATTTTATTCACAATATTGATCACATGCGGGGTTTTTCAAAACCAGGCAGTGCTCTTATCAATCTGAGATTTAGCTAGATAATGTTTCTTTGAATGATATATCATTAATAAGAATAGATTAGTATTGAAGTCATTGAAATGTCATGACAATGTAGATCATAAAACACCAGCTATATGGTTAACTGCTTGAGAATGCTGCTGAACATATACTTAACTCTTTTTCATCACGCGGTTAGCTGAAAATCTCAGGTTTTGATATGTTGAATGCTCTATCATCCTTTTATCTTGTTTTCTCCCTCAGTTATGGGTTTAATACATTTGGTCACTTCCTAGCTATGCTAGAAGTCATGTTTAACAACACTACGCATAAAAAATTTGTCTTCAAATGAAACGAAGTTATTACACACTCTAATCGGAATGTTCTATAGGTGACACCCCCATGTCAAAAACAACACTGGTATTTATACAGTTTTGACACCTTATAACTCTATGGATATAAAGTATATTGGTGCATTTTCACAATAGTTCTTCAAATTACGAAACTTTGGTATCGTCCAAGAAATCATGTCATTACCGTCTACAAACTGCGAGCATGTTATTGGTTTACAATATTATTAGTTCACGCAAATCTAATGGGTCAGTTTATCTGTGAGTCTCATAGTAAGAATGAATTGTTTGCTTCATTTTTCAACCGAAGTATAAGACAATCATATCCATACACAATTCCTAGCTAGACAATCTGTATAAGATCAACGACATGTTGCGCGTTTCCCTACTTTATTGATACAAATATTTAACATGTGAAAATTCGTGTCCCTAGGCTATTAATTATTTTTTTGTAGAAATCTACTGTGCAAAAGTAACTTCATCTATTGAGTTGTAAAACAGCTTCTGTTTAATATAAATTCTTGCCTTGTACATTCTCATGTTGTTGATTGTTACTGGTTATAAAAAATAAAGACATATGATTTTAAAGTGTTCATTAGCTATCGTTTATTTAGTAATTTATCCATTCTACAGGCTCGCAACCGCTTGGAATCAGACCTATTAGATGCCATGATGTGTATAGAAGACTTAAAACAAGCTCTTGAGATTCGTTTGGCACGAGTAAGTATTTTTTTATTGATTTGATGAAAAACAGACATTTTACTTGTGTTTGGCTTGCGTAAGTAAAAGCTCTACCTTTTTTATCAGGTAATGTAGACCCAACCAGGATATTACAAAAAACAAAGGTCTTATGATTATTTATTTATTTGGAAGAATAACTGAGCCGATAAAAAATTGATGAAAAGGTTGTCGACTGATCACTTGAGTGAAATTGTCATAGCGATAGTTCACTCACATAGCATAAGTGTAGCTTTCGTCACAATCGTCATCATAAGACAGGTTCATTAATCAAATGATAGTAAATTTTGGGAACATAATTCTGTCACCTGTATATACATATATATATATATATATATATATATATATATATATACTACGGAGAATTTATGATAACATTAGTTATTGGCATTTACTCAGTAGGTTCATTCAAATTCCTTGCACTACTCTTGAGGAATACTTCGACTTGTCTTTGTGCTTGAAGTAACGTTTTTCAGTTAATTAAGGTCAACCAGAACAATTATTCCACTATTTTCTTATTTGACGTTTGGTAATAAAATTGAAAGGAATTATATCCAGTAGACTCAGTGGCTATAAAAGCAGTATGCTTTTACCTAAATGTTGCATGAGTAAGTAACAATGTCTAAATAACAATAATGATAAGAACAATATTATTATTAATTGATTTATTCAATCTATTGTGTTTATTACAATATAGATCTTTTGGAATGAAATATTCTGACGAATTCGTCCTATTCTTTTTATAAAGAGATACGCCTTAAATAAATAAATAGAAATATGTAGAACTAAGTGGGAATTTTATACAAAAGAACAATCTTTACTGTACTGAATGATATACGCGGACGTTAAAAAGCATATGTTTCTCGTTAGATTAACTATTTCATTTTTTATTGTATAATATATGTCCTAAATACGGTATTGTATAGCCTTCATTCTTTTACACTAGAAGATATACAGGGGAAATGATACAAATACAGTGAATGGTTTGCATGTGATGGAATAAATCTTATCAGTTGTTTTTCAAGTTTCCATTTGTCTATCTGCGGCTACATTCATAATGGCATAAAAAAATCCACCATTGAATTTAACAATAGCTCTCAGTGCTTTATTTCACACAGCGTAATCACTTTTCAAAAGTTCAGGAAAGGCAGTGAGGAACAGTAAAGCATAGCGGACAGTCTACAGGAATTAATAAATCATAAAGGCAGTCGTTGTGTTATGACGAAAACACAATCTCCAATAATAGGTTAAACTAAGGACGTTCTTTAATATTAACAAAGCTTGGAAAAATCAGGAGAGATTGAAAGTGAAGCTTAAGCCTAGATTGATGATAATTAGCATAGGTTTTTATAACAGAATATGCAATAGTATAAAAGTCACACGATTCTGGAAGGACGTTCTGGTCCTTATCATATTGTAGACTAACATCAGTAGTTTGACATCTAAAAAGATTAAGTGTAAGGTCATTTCAATTAGACCGGTATTTAATATACTGCAATAATTCATTCACTTCAAAGTAATTGAAAGAGGAAAAGGCTGGTATACATATTATAATCAGTTCGTACACATACCTATCAAAGTGTCGTTTGTAGATGATGCGGTATCGTACAATGAAAAAGAGAAAGAGGGAAGGAAAAGAACACCTATTTGAAGCATATCAACTTTGGTTAATGAAAAAATGGAATATTTCCCTTCATCAATGGTATACTACCCTTTAAAGAAAATAAAAACAAGATCAATTGATTTTTCTGCTATCGATGTTGATACAAGCAAACTTTTATGATAATACAAGATCAAAAACATAGTCTAGAAACTTGTATCAAATAGATAAATCACTTAGCGTGAAATGAGCACTATGTTATAATACAGGGCAACTGCAGCATCTGAAGTTCATCATTCATATTTGTAGGGAAACTGATGTAGATTGGTGGACACATTTAATGCAGGCCAAAGTATAAGTAATATCATTTTCTTCCTTTTGTTGATAAAATGAGAAATTATCGTCATAAACCTGAACTGGACATCAGTATCGTCAACAAGTTCTTCGACGATGAAATAAATGTTTTTTCGGAAGTGGTCAAGTGTAATTATCCTAAATTTGGGTTCTATTAGGATATGCTCTTTTTGTCTAATGTTAGGAATTGTAAAACTAATTTGTAGCGATACTTTTGAATGCATTCAGGAAATCGACAAGGTTATACCCACAGTATTTTAAAAATGTATAGGACTTATAATGAATCTGATAAAAAGTTTCAGTACGCCTTAGTTGTTACTAATACTAAATATTTCGTGAATTTCGGGTTTTTGTTTTGTTCTAATAGTAACTTTTGAAATTAATCCGATAGACGATTAGAGACGGAGACGAGTTACTCATTTTCTTTCAGACATGGATTTTAAATAACAGTCGACACTTTGGGGCTACGTTCTCCAAATTACAATACCTTTTGTTATTCGCTACCTGGTTCTCCTCAGTGTTCGACGAAAACTAATTTTTTCTAGAGGCAATATTGTTTAAAGTCACTGGTGTACATTTCATGTAAGAATATGACGCAAACATTCAGATGAATGGTGTAGGATATTGCAAGTAGATCAAAATACTAATAACCTTAGCAAAACAAATATGTTTTAAACGTTCAAATAATAGGGATGATATGTTATAGTTTTTCATAAGTACTCAGTCTCCTATTCGATCAGTGTTTATACTGTTATTGTAAACATTGTTCATCAAGTATCTAACAAATTTAACTGATCTGTTTTGTGATTTTTTGTTTCTCTTCAAGCGACGAAAAATTGTAAGTTGAGAAAATTGCATTTGATTTATGCTTATATTGTGTTTTATAAATGTAATAATATTTCTCAGTATTTATAATGCTTAAAATAAGAATTTTTATCTTAAATAATATTCAAGCTTTTCTTACAACCTAATGTTTTAAGGCGTGAATATAAACACCTTCGTTTCAGCTATTATGAACCAGTTAAGATATATTTAGCTTGTGTAGTACCGTTTTCATTACTCAGAATCGAATTTAATTAAATGGTTATGTTGAATCATTTTTTTCCGTAATGTTATTGATACACAAAACCATCTAGCTGAAAATAAGAAAGGTGTTATTTTTCATTAACTTCATCTCATTATATGTCCTATCTTTATAGCTATGAGAAGTATCAAAATTTAATTGAACTACCAGCTAACTTTGGTTAGATAAATAAATTTTTCGGAAAAAAGTACAGACCGGGTTTATTTCAATGAATGTTGATAAAATTTAAAAGTAATATCTCTGAATTGGTTTACTCAATTCTTTTATCGGAAAATGTCTATGTAGATGGATTAACTTTCTTTGTAAACAATACACATATAATGACTTCTCTATACTCGGCGCCCAATTTCTGTCGAACTATTCGTTCTAATATTGACGAATATTTGCATAAATATGAGTACATTTTTAGAAAAGAAAAAAGAAAAACTCAATATCCTCAATTATTTTTCGTTTAGAAATTACTGTAAAAGGTTTAGATTTTTAGTCAGGTAATTTATTTTGTTTCATTAAGATAGTTTATCAAAATTAATTAGAATGAACTGGAATAAGATGTAGAAAGTTTTGGAACTTAAACGACCTTTGAGACTATCGTTTATCTTGAATTACTAAGTCGAAATCTCATTTGATATTATATCCCGCCGTAAGTCTATTTGTAAATCTACCACACTTCTTAAATTGCTCGATAATTGAAAGTCAGAGACTTATGGAGAAGTTCTTGCAACCTACACATGTCTTTTACTGTCATAGACTAGTAATCACCGGCTCAAGTTAACACGGAGCAAACTTAGCATACTCACCCACTTATAGGCAAACAGGTATTTATTTCCTGTATGAGGTGGTTCAAGTTGTTGAATGCAGTGTGAATGTTTGTTTACATCCCAAGATATCAGCAGTCGGAAAACAGTCATCTTAAGATGTTCAGGGTAGAAAACAGGTTTAATTTCTTCAGTTTGTATTGCCAAATTATGACTTGATGTACTGCAGGTTCTAAGTAACATTTTTGATTGTTACTCAAAATGTTCAAACTTTGTATTTTGTCAGCATCCTCATCAATCAAGGCTATGTTACCCGAATACTGTCATCCAGTGTGAGATGCTCTGGACAGAAGATCGATTCGTTAAATATCAAGTGATGAATTAATTGTAATTAAAACATACATAGGACACCTGAATAAATGGAAATAAAGGGATCCCTAACGAGTTACACATGAAGTAGTCAACTCAGTTGACAGTCAGTCCTAAGATGTGACCAAAATAGTAGTATTCTGGAATAAATTAATTTTATTTTTTGATATGTTCTTCTAGGGTTAACACTGGTAAGATCTCATAGTCAACCGCATTTAACGTTACTCCCAGATCAAGGAGTACAACTTGGAAATTGTAAGCATACCAATGCTTTGAATCCTGAAAATAAATGAAAACCTAATCAATTCATTCACTACTTAACTTCTTGAATTTCTTGTTTCTGAGTCCCACTTATGATTGTGGAAGCCAAAACGTTAGGATTAATAATACTCACATTTCTGTGTAATTATCAAAAAGAAATTTCCCCCATTTTGTAAAAGTCGAGGCTATCCATAATAGAAAACGGTTAGAGTTACAATAATTTCGAAATGTGTGTCTGATATCGCAGTCAATCTCGCTGGTACTGTCGGATCGATAGTTCTGAGTATTTGAAATGAATCAGTTAGAACTTGTTTCTGTCTCATTTTGAAAGTTGGATTTTGCATCTGCTGTTCCAAAAAAGTTTACAGAATTCTCTACCAATCATACTACCGGTAGGCCGTGGTCAATCGGAAGCTGATTGAACATTTTTCCAAAGTCTCTCACTAATTCATTCAGCTATCTGTTTTGAAAGTTGATCATTGTCCCAACATTTTCAGAAGTTTCATCAATAGTTACCTCTTAAATTTTGTCTTTTAGTTGCATTTAAGTAATTTCCCATTTTCCTGTATTTCTGATACTTTTCTCTCCTTTTAACTATCGCTAATCGCCACTCCTTCTGATCATTACCTACAAGTATTATCAGTTTACATTAGTGTAAATTTTATTACTGCATGAGCATATTTGGTGGTTTCCTATGACAGAGTTGATTTATCTGGTAATTTTTACCTAAGGATTGAATAGAAAGAATAGATAAACTAGAATGTCTATAGGGTCCCATCATATTATTATCATTCCTTCCAATGACTGTTATGTAAGCAAAAAATCCAGCTGAAGTGTGCAAACTGTGTATAACTGCATAAGACAAATAGCTTAGTTAAGTGCTTTTTGTTTATCACTAATATCAATAAACGTCTGAGTTTATTTATTCTAAATGTATAATGTAGTTTATGCAAATTTCTCTGTCAAGATCTGTAAATAAGTAAATTTACTTAAGATCACTGTCTTTATTTTAATGTGAGATTGTATCTGATCGATCAGAGATAAATTTTTGAACTACCAAATTGAGCTTTATTTCACTGGTCACCTTTTCTAAATTCATCTATACCAAATCACCAAAAAGTAAATTAGTTAATCAAGCTAAGCAATCAAATAAATCAACATGATATTTGGTACAGTAATGGTATAGATTATTACAAGGGTGAATGTAAAAAAGTCAGAATAGTCAAATGTAAGAATTTTAATACCCAGTGGTAAGTCAATAATTCTACACTAAAGGAATATACTCAAGGTCAAGCAAAACTACATCTTAAACCATTGATTCCTGACCTTTAGAATACTGCAGGTCATAAATATACTTACTAATTCTTTGACAACCTCATTGAAATCATTGACCATAAGATAATACATAATCTGAAAGCCTGACTACTCAAAATCCCACAAATGATCTCTTTTAGATTAATTAAATAGTGTATTGGAAGTTCCTTACACTCTTAATTGTTTATTTACTAACGATAGGAATTTTTCAATGTGGATAATCAACTAATAATAATTATCATAACAGTTTTTTTCGTATAGATTACCTTCAATATCAGTCTCTGGATAGTCTGAAGTCATGTTCAGCATGTTAAATCATTGATCTAAGACAAAACTAAACATTATTTATTAGTTTTATAGTAGTGAGAACAAAATTTTAAACAGAATACCATTATTATTTTACTTCATTTCGTCAAGTTTACATCATCTGTTTATAACCCAAGGTATTTCAGTAACAAAAATTGTAAATGAAATGTAATATACAAACGCAAGCCGATGTATGCATGTATCAGAATGGTCTAGTAAATAATCAAATGCAGTTACAAAGATTTACATAAATGTTAAAAATATATTATTATATCATAAATATCCTACACAAAAGTATGTTTTAGAACATTATTTAGTATATCAACAAAATACCATAAACTTGGAGCTAAGTGATCTCAGCTTTTTTATGTTAATTATATTCAGAGCTAGTCATTATTTATGCATTGACACCGATTAGTGGAAAACGTTTGATCCTCTGATTGTAGTGAATCATCAGACATTTAGTTATAATTGACTGAGTGTTCAATCACATATTTTCAGACTAATTTTTATTAGCGCTTTGATAAGTGTAGACCCAGTTTCTCTCCACAATGCTCCTAATATTTATGTTCGACTTAAAGAAGATTTCCATCTCTTAAATTGTGACTTCCAAGGAGACTTCATTACAAGCGTGACTGATCCCAAGTTAATATTCTTGGAAAACGACATTACATTCTTTAGTAGTAACATGAAATATACGTGGTAGTTTCTAGAAACAGCTCTACTTCAAGTAGTTAAACATATAGCCTGTTACTATAAAACTAAAACAATCCTAATTCCTTGTACTAGTTCATCAGTAAAGATTAAAACAGCCATATACAGTTGTTGATTATAATCTGTTTATGATATACCAATTATGTTAGTACTTAGCATATTTACTTCATATCTTCTAACTAATCAGTTTGACAGGAATAATATGCTTTATAAAACTAATATTTTGTGAATAATAATGTTTAATACTGAATAGAAACTTTTAGTTGTGAATTGTAAGCTTTGAATGTTCTATCTAATTAAATAAATTTGTAACTCTTCTGATAAACTATTTTGTATCGTTAAGCTGATTTATTAGAACATAAAATTAACATTTAAAAAACCTGGCTCAATTTAAATATTTTTCTGACTTTATTATATTTATTATTTTACTCATTAATCTTACTCTTAATCTCGTAACAGTTTACTATGGAAATTGTCATATGTACATACTAACACAAACAGACCTATAGTATTTATGATCTTTAAATATGTCAAACGTATTCATTTCATTGACAAATTTTTTTCCATAGGAAGTAAAACAAGAAAAAAAATACTTAGAAAACATTTCATTTTAGATTTTATTTAATGAAATGCCTGAAAATTACAATTGGTCACAGTTTGTTTTCATCATATTGATTCAATCTTCTACCTTTCATAATAGATTCATCTTAACTACCCATTTTTCATATGTATTTCACTTTAGTGTTCTTTTCTATTAATATTCACTTGACACAGATAGCCAAATAACCTCATATTGACCTAGTTACAGTCGATACTGTTTTATGTTTTCTATGTGACATATTTTTATGGAATAATACTCAAGTGAAATATAAGTTTAACTGTAATTTTCACTGATTCTGAATTAAATAAGAATTTATTCTTTAACTAATCGAACACAATTAGTTTAGCTTTGAAAAACAACATAAGTAACCTCTGAGTGATTTGCCAGTCGCTTATAAGGAACTAGAAATATTAATAAATGGCGGTACCTGTCAATCATACTAACTAGAGTTCAGTTGAGACTTGACCTGAAGTTATTCATACAGTGAGTTAATTTGCAGGTGTTTTGCATAGAATTTGTTATTTGTCCATGTAGTTCTCTATTCATGATGTTGGTAATCATTCTTCACATCTTGATCTATTTCAATTTTTTGACACGTCTTTATTCAGTTGACATCCATTGGTTTTAATGAAATTAATGTCTTTTCGATTCAGATAATCGAATATCTTTAACCAAATTTTATCGGTCATTCTAATGTTTTCTATTTGACACTATTCACGACATCATAGGTGTAGGGATTTTTACACATAGAACGCAAAACTTTCAACGTATTTTTCTGCGATATTATTTTAATATTAATTTTCTTGTAAATAGTTTAAAAAAACTTATCTTCTTTATTTCTCACTCATGTTTCCTTTTCAAAGGATCCTCGAGAAGCTGAGGAAAGAAGATATTTGATTCGGCAAAACAAGAAATTACTAAACCAGGTTAGAAAATGTACAACTATATTATTTATTTAATATTAGTTATTTGAATCAGCAAAGAAAATTGAAAGACTGGAAGTAACCAAAGTAGAAATGAAAGAACAACTGGAATTATTGGATTTCCAAATTGTCGAAGTTGAGAATCAGAAAGCTATGGTGTGTTAAACTTTCTTTTCTTTATATATTCAGTTATATATTTTTTCTAATGGTATCCACTCATATGTGGCCTCCGTGTTTGCTTATTGTTATTTTATTCTTTGTTTTTTTCCTACAGATTGAGGAAGAATTGAGAAAAATTCCTCCAACTTTACATGAGGGAACTCAAACTGAGGTTAGTCACCACAATTTAATTGTTTACATTCAATCCCAGATTAAATGGAGAAACATAGAACTCGAAGGTAACATGTGATTATGCATGATGCTAATCCAAACTACACTACATGATTAACGTTTTAGTTTTATCATAGTACAAGTAATAAGTAAAATGTTAATCTGGGGTTCTTGGCTTTTTTAAAGTGAATTGTAACGCACCCTTTAAGTATGTAAAAACGTAAGCTTAAAAATAAAATAATAAACGTAGCGATATTGATCAAAAAGGCGAGGTTTCCATTCTTAGTCTATAATAATCAAGATAAAGTTCATAAAAATCAATAGAAATTTTCTATAATAACCATAAATTAGGGTGGAATAAGTACACATCCCTACTTAAGCAATATTCCTTGTAGATGTTTATACCGCTAGTTTATTTTACAATGTACATCTTAGAATTGTCGAACGTTCAGTAGTTTGACATTGCTTTGTTGGTAGTTGCAGTGTGCTCTAAGAAAACGATGGACTATTAATGCAGTTCTTACTAGAAAAAATCAAACATTTCTGGAACATTTTGTTGTTTATGTCACAGACTGACCTTAATTAAACAATCACCGAAAACCGGGAAGCATTGAACAGTTGTTTCGTCGTAGTGTTGGGCGTATCCAATTTTCTCAGTGATTTTTTAACATTTAGGCCACTGAGGAGGAACATGTTAACCTAAAGAATCAAAGCGTTATAAACTGCAACAAAACGAACGGGAACGGCCAATCACAACTCACTTTTTTGCGAAAGTTGTTTTACTAAAATATTTTGATTCTGGTCACTACTTCCGAAAAGCTATTATCATTGATTATTATGGAAAAAATAATTTTTGTAAGAAAATATTCCTATACTGTCTTGTTCCGTGTAGTTATAGTATTCACCATTACAAATCTGATATCTTCTATGATGCGTTACATATAGAATGTTTAATAACCACCGTCTTCTTCCACCTAAGATAAATTATACTTTTCAGAATTCTTCAAGAGTTAAGCTATCACCATCTGAATGCACTTCTTTTCCACTATCAGTCTTATAGTTCATAATAAGTCTACTGTACACTTCATGATTTAAAACTTTGCAAAGATGTTATCGTTTTTTTTTCTATCAGAAATAAATCGTTTCCTGATATTTTAGTGTTAAATTGTCATTCTGTTATCATACACATTCGTTTTTCTTCAGAAATTCGTTTCTTAAAAGTTTATGTAGTCGGTGTTCTAATTTTATTCTGGTCTTCGAAAAGCTTTCAAAATTTAGTCATATAACATCTATTTTGTAGGAAGCATACACAATGTTCAAACTATTATCATCACCAAGAATGAAGAAGAATCTTTTCACCTATTTTGAATCGAAAAACAATTAGTTCTTTCTTCTGAAAACTAAAAGCTGTTCAGTTTTTGGTTAAGCTCTCAGGCAATTTACAGTGAAACTAAATGAAGATTCAATTTCATTAATTAATAAACCTGTTTACAATCAACTATTTTCTTAGATATTTTCTCAAATCAATTCTAACAGTCAGAGTTTTTTCGATCTCTATTGCTTGAGTAAAACCTACTTTTCTTCAGTTATTTTTTTCCTTGTCGGTCAACTAATAAATCATTGAGGGATATTTGATTCTATGAAGTAGTGGAGTTCATCAATTAATCGACTAAATACTTAATTTATGAAAGCTAATTTAAAAGATTCTAATCAAGATTTCTATGTGATATAAATAAACACTCACATTTATCATATTTTTACGGTTCATAGTCGTTTTCTACTTTTACATTTATTTATTCAACTTTAAACACTTTATTTGTAAGTTAAGTAGTAGTTAAGAAAAATTGCAAGCCTATCAAATGTAGCATTTTACTTATCACACTTTTATTCTAATCTAGGAAAGCTCAGATAACCGTCAGTTAATATGTCAATTAAAAGAACAATTAAGTCTACTCAGAAGCGATTTATCCAATCAAAAAGCTGAAACAGCAGCTGCTGTTGCTAAACACATTCATCTGGATAATTTAATTAAAGAATTACGTCGTGATAATATTGAATTACGTGATCAATTATCTCATGTTGATGATACTGAAAATTCACTAGCTGAAAGTGATAAACCGATAGCTGCTGATGTTAAACTACTTAAAGTTAGTGTTTTAATTCATTACTTTTGAAAAATTTACTTTTTGTGTATAGTTAATCATTCTGTTTTCTAATTGAAAGTATTTCATCTTTTATACATAGATCGTAACTTAATAAGGAAAAAGTCATCATTTGATTTTTATCATGTTTACTTGGAAAACTACTATTTTAAGACTGTGTGGTATTATCTGCACCACACCTTTTATGTCATCAATGGAGTATAAATAATGTGTAACATTTATAACCGTTATGTAAAATTGATATATTTTATATCCTTATATTTCGTATCCCCGAGGTTGATAGTAACACTAGTTGTATAATACTTTGTGGTATCGATATTTCGTCTACCAAAAATTTTTATATACATTATTTACTTTTCAGATTATTCCATTGAACATTCATTTATTTATGCAGATCTCAAAGATTAAAACTTACGTGATAATAAAACTTACTGTTTTGATCTGATAGTAACGTAGTTTAGTTTAATTAACTTGAAGGAAAGTAATTCATATACCAGTTCACAGACTGGATTTTTTAAAGAGTAATGTGTTTTTAAAAACCTACTTGCTTACGCCTGTTACACTTTATGAAGTATAGACCACCGATCTCGAACGCACTCTCTCCGGGACTCTTCTTTTCAGTTATGCCTAAGTGCTATTCATTCTTTTGATGTCTGCTTCCTAATACCTTGTGTCCTTTGTTTATTTTTTTTCTCTTTAAACTTGAGGATTGCAAGTTAGAGCTTGCCTTGTGGTGCATTTTGATGATTTCCTGGTTAGGTGCTCTATCCAATTTCGGAGTATATTGCTAGTTTTCTCTTCATGTGGAAGTTAGTTTGTCCACTTGCGCAGTAGGCTGCTGCTGATGTTATCCGGTCCACGGTCATTAAGTATCTTGTGTAGATAGTTGTTTACGAATACCTGTATCTGACAATTCTGAGTGATTAAGCTGAAGTTTTCAGATTTGTGTACGTAAATACATCAAATTATCATGAAAGTAATGACAAATGATGGAAACCTAATACAAATTTCTTCTGTCTGAAAGCTGAAATCAATTGGTCTAGTAGTTCTATATATTGTTAACTCCTAACTATATATATATATATATATATATATATATATATATATATCTTAAAATAACTTTTTTATCTGGTAATATTGTTTCGTACACAATACTGTTAATCAGGATGATTCTAATAAAGTATAACTGTGTATATACACCTAAATGATTGTATTCGACAACTAGTAAGTAGTTTTCAACCTCAGCAACGCTGACCATACTGTCCTGTTTGTTTGCCTAGTGTCAACCGATTCATAAAGTGGCATAATCTTGCAAAATTGCTGATTATAGCTACTGAGACGATCGTTGGTTAGAACTGGGAAATAACAGCTATTTGATAATTATTCAGTTAGATAAGAGTAAAAAGTAACTTAATGTGCAATGAACGATTAAAGATTTATTTATAAACAAACCACTAATTAAAACAAAACTTAAAACCGTAATGAAATGTATATACTTTAAAATGGTCGGCAAATAAATGACTTAAAATGAGTTGAAAAAGCAGTTAACAGCTAACCAGTAAACAGTATGGAACAATCAACAAAACACGAAGGTGATCAACACATTCAACTTTCATCTTAGTAAGAATTATCATCCACTTATGGAATCACGCTTACTAATGCTATCACATTATACAATCTTAGTAATTGAAAAAAATTCCACCGTATTATAATACTACACATTTGAAATATACCACGAAAAAATTAAAATCAACTGACTCAACCACTTAATCAATGTGTAATTGACATATCCAAAACAATATTAAGATAACATCAGTTAGGGATGGATGCATGGTTATCAGGAACGAAAACAAAAGCCTGTTTGTCATTACATCATAACTGTTAAGGTGTGGGAAACGAAGTGTAAGTAGACACATTCTCTATATTTTTGGATGGAATCGAACAGAGAGAGAGAGAGAGAGAACTTTCCATGTTTGATAACACCATTTAGAGATTATTCACTTCATGTGGTGCTATGCGAACTGTCATGCGAAACAGTTGGATTTACTCATGATCAAGTGATAGAGTTGGGTCTTGAATATTTCTCACCCAACTGTATATCTATGTGTGCATAATTATTTAATTTCGTTTGATATTTATCATGGTTTTCATGTGAATATTCAAGGACATCTGTTGGCTCGCTCACGAACGTCTAGTTGCATTGTGGTTTTGAGAATGAATGAGAAATAAATATCGATAGCTTTAAATTAGTGGATTTCAGTTATGACCGAAAATCACATCGAAACAATAGATTTAAGCGAATAGTACTGTTTCCAATTAGATTCTTATCAGGCTTTACTGTAATATGCACTGTCTCATAATCTTCTATTATTGGTTTAATAGTTTTGAATGTGTGTAAATATTATTGTATATTAGTGTAGAGCATTTTGAGGATCTAATTGAAAACAATATTGTTTTAAACCACAATATGGAAACTTCTAATATTTCAAAATTAAATTGTTGTCTATTAATCTAGTAAGATGTACAGGAAAGATATAGGTGTATTTCAATTCTTTTAATTAGTACATGAATAGATGACAAGTAGTAATGAGACAGTGTATTCATTATTTATGGCAATCAACCGAGTATATATATATAATGAACTGACTGAGAAATAAACTTTTCATCTTATGTTTCTGTTATAATATGTTGTAACTTGTTTGAACAATGTATGACTCAAGTTAAAACGGAAGTATATATATATTATTCACTTATTTTGCTACAACCTATTCACTGAAGCACAATATGAATATGTTTTAGTGTTTTGTTTTTTGAGTTCAAGTTACGTTTTTTTCATATGCATTACTAATGCACTACAGATGAAGTAGCTACAAATTTCAATTTCTTGACAAAATCAACATCTCATATTTTAGGTCATTTATATCAATTAACTGTGTTATTGATTTGAGAATCATGTACCAATTTTAAAAGATGTACCTTATTGACTGATTTGTTCACTTAGGTGCAACGTCATTCGAAATTTATACATCAGTAAATATGATTTCATACATTAACAAGCGAAGAAATCATAAGTCGAATTGTCATTTTTTTAATATTGTGAGAAAATGAAACGTTTTCTAAGCATTGATTTCCGACCCAAGTGTTTTTTTAATCAGTAAACTTTGATCTGATTTCATCTTCAAACAGATATTAGTGCATTAGCATTCTACAATCGGGTTTATGTAATTTTAAAATTATATTATTCCGCTAACGAACACACTATTCGGTGATATTTCTTGGTTTTAATCAATGTTGATATGCGAGAAAATAAATGCATAAACCATACAAATAAATTCAAGTAACTAGGCAATATGTTTCCTAATATTTTATATTAATCCGATGGTGATTGAACAGTTTTTTTAAATCAAAAAACTTATTCAGTACTCTGTTTTCTGAAACAAGTGTCGTTTGATTAACCTATTTGTATGTTTTATTGAGTATCTAAACTGTTGCAATCTTAAACACTAAGAAATGCTATAACCTGGTCTTTTCTACACAAGGTTTGACAAAATTAGTAAACTTAAGGGTAACCGTACGCACTTACCCTCAGCACTGTGCTCCAAATGTTCTCGACTCTACCCTGCGAAGAGTATATGTAAATATTTCTGGAGACATTTTATTCTCAGGGAATATTAATTACATTCAAATAATTATAAAACAAATCAATAATCAGTGTCATCTATAACATTAAACTTAAGTTTTAGATTATAATCATTTGTTTTTCCGTATGACAAAAGAAGCAATACCTCCAATCTATTTTATTCAGAAATAATATCTAGTTCATTAGAAGAGCGATATGGTTTCTTAAAAGGTAAAAACCTTTGGCAGAAAAACTTCAGATACTAACAGATCTCTTGCTCAAAAAGTTCTGTTTCGTGCAAAAACTAACTACGCCTATCTCATATTAAAAAAAGTTATTGAATGAATCACGACAATTACAGTTAATTAAGATAGCCAAGTAATTAATTTTTACGTTTTTAACTATGAATATATATATATATATATATATATATATATTCTCGCCGTAACTATGACTACAAATTCCATTACTACCTGTCATAAACTCATCACGAGAATAGGAATACACCCATATCTTTCCTATACATCTAATTATATTGATGGGCAACAAAATGATTTTAGGCTATCGATATTTATTTCTCATTCATTCTCAAAACCACAATGCAACTAGACGTTCGTGAGCGAGCCAACAGATGTCCTTGAATATTCACATGAAAACCATGATAAATATCAAACGAAATTAAATAATTATGCACACATAGATATACAGTTGGATGAGAAATATTCAAGACCCAACTCTATCACATGATCATGAGTAAATCCAACTGTTTCGCATGACAGTTCGCATAGCACCACATGAAGTGAATAATCTCTAAATGGTGTTATCAAACATGGAAAGTTCTCTCTCTCTCTCTGTTCGACTCCATCCAAAAATATAGAGAATGTGTCTACTTACACTTCGTTTCCCACACCTTAACAGTTATGATGTAATGACAAACAGGCTTTTGTTTTCGTTCCTGATAACCATGCATCCATCCCTAACTGATGTTATCTTAATATTGTTTTGGACATGTCAATTACACATTGATTAAGTGGTTGAGTCAGTTGATTTTAATTTTTTCGTGGTATATTTCAAATGTGTAGTATTATAATATGGTGGAATTTTTTTCAATTACTAAGATTGTATAATGTGATAGCATTAGTAAGCGTGATTCCATAAGTGGATGATAACTCTTACTAAGATGAAAGTTGAATGTGTTGATCACCTTCGTGTTTTGTTGATTGTTCCATACTGTTTACTGGTTAGCTGTTAACTGCCTGTTCAATTCATTTTCTCTTGTATATTGAGTCACCTAATATCTTTAGCTTCAAGAGGCTATGTTTCATGTTGATTGCGCGAATCTAGATCCAGCATCGCTTTTTAAATCCTACATCATTGAGTCTAAGATAATCCGTTGTCTTTGGTTTCTGCCTCACACTACAGTTTGTTCTTACCTTCTCACACGACTTTTCAGAAGCAAAATGTTTTTGATTATTTCTGATGAGTGGTTGTAGGTACAGAGGTGTGCCTGTCTTGCTAAAGTTCTTTGGATCATAAAGGTTGAGTGTATTCGCCGTAATTTTGGATTTCAAGTGACTCTGGAATAGCCTGGTTAACAGTGTACACCAAGTTAATATCCCTTTTATCCTACATTAAATGTAACGCTTTGGCTCTTCAAGTACTATACGGTTTGTATTATCTACAAATTTCAGTGTTATTTTGGTCATTTTCATAAAACTGAAGGAGTAAAATGTTCCAAATTACGCTAGGATAAATGACTATGAAAATCAAATATTTCTCTTCCTAATATTGTGGTTTCTAACGCTATCATTATGAGAAGATCTAGAACAATCATGTAAACTGAATAACATAAATTCATTTAATTTGTTTTTATGTTATCAATTAAGTTCAGCCTTGTGATCTTTCGCTACAATATCAGTTGGAGTTCTAGTACATTTTTGGACCTTATACATGTTTTTGCGAAATTCTATCAAAGCTTTTCAGCTTTGTTTCCATATGTAATACATCATACTGATTTGCTTTAGTACTAAGTTCTAACCTATTTGACTCCTTTATATTTGTTAAACTACAATGGAAATTTTGATTTCGAACTAAAATAAATCCATGTTATTCGGTTTACATCGTTGTTTTTGCCTTCTTTAAATTAATGGATGAAACTGTATGTGACATCAATTTGTTGATTTAGAAATTATATTTCCTAATATAGTAGTTTATGAAAATTGCTGAATTTTATATTTAACATCACGAAATGACCGTAGACAAGCATTGAATCCTAGGTTTAAGATATTTGCTTGACCAGTAATATTGGAAGATGATTGTTCAATATTGGGAATCGATTGTAGTTAAACACGCAAACTATTGGATACTGACTTACTGATATTGAGGTTGAATTCGAGATTGTAGGTCCTGTGTTCGACTTTGAGTTGAGAAGTCATAGATACGCACTCCTGTTGGGTCCCGTTCTGGTACGAAACATCTTCAGTGCTTTCTGGCTCCCAATAATTGTGTACCTAAGATCAATTCAAAATGCTAATCATATACATATTTAAGTCATGTTCTTATCACACATGTGGCATTCACTTAAAATATATTGTCACGAAGTCATTTTACGTACAACTCACGTCAATCAATCTTTTTCCAAGTGTGATCTACTTAAAATATAAATGGCTATATATATATGTTCATATTTCGTCACGGTTGATATTGACTAACGTGAAAATCCATACAGATCCCTTTATGTGAGTTACAGATTATTTATTCGCTGTTATAAAGGTGTGTTTAGCTTTCCTTACAATTTACATAGGTGTACACTTGCAAATGAGTGTATACAAAAACGATATCGCCTAGTTCCAGGTCACCTTATTTTTCTATTCATTATTTGACGGTGTACTTTATTTGTGAGTTCTGTTTTTCAGATAAGTTTTCAACTCTAATTAATTTTTATCATTATATTTCTATTTCTCATAAGGCTCAATTAGCTGAACAATTAGAACGTGTCAAAGATTTAGAAGAAAAATTGAATTCATCAAGATTGTATTCAGAAAAATTAGAATCCCGTGTACAAGACCTTATAGAAAAAAACAGCTGTCATCCATCTACTGAATCTGTATCATTCGAAACAGATCATTCTGAACAAAATACAGTGAGTTTTCATATTACTTTATTTTTGTGTGTAATCATTTTATACTAATCAATGAGACACGATTTGGTTGTTTACGTGATACTTAACATTCAATATGTAACCTAAATACTTACCATTATTGAGTTATCATTATAAAATATGTCAGTATTAGTTCAATAATTGTAATAGCATACACTTTATTTGTAGTGCACCTTTAATGACTATGTAAAGAAGTTTTCAATATTTAATCCTTTATACAAATGCGAAATATTGAATTAGATCTGGTCAGATTACCTGAGAAACTGTTTAATTTTTTACTTAACCATAATAATGAAGAAATGACTTGTTGGTTCTATATCGCTCTTATCTGACCATTGATTTATAATTTGTTAGTCTTCCAGTCCAAACGCGTAAGAAAGAATCTTAATTTAAGCTTAATTTTTTTTATTTGAATGAAAGTAAACTATTTAGTGAAATTGTAAACGCTAATAGACAAAATCCACTCGAGTTTATTCTGTAGACAGTGTGCGATTGCTTAGTAGGACTTTATTTTGATCAGTTTCCTTGTAAACTATTGCTAACCATTTATAAATTCTGATAACCACACCGCTTTATGAAAATCGGTTTACTTTTTCTACCTTTTACTACTGATCATAAACGTCTAGACTGCTGTACTTCACTCAATGGACGATACGAAACCGGTTACTGTTTCTCAATCACAACCACCTCCATTAAAAACAACAGGAACACAACCTAAAGTAGATGATATACTTCTTCAACAAACAATTTATACATTTCAGGCACTTTTAGATGAACGTGATCAAGAAATAAGTCAATTAAAAAAACATATTGTACAAAATCCATCTAACACTGAGTTAACATCAGATATAAATCTACCGAAATTATACGAATCATCAATTCAAACAGAATTAAATAATGAACAAATGGAAAAATTATCAAATTTAAAAGATACTTTAAATTCAGGTGGTCAGTTATTGACTAGTGAACAGTATGAAACATTGAACAATGAATTAAACGAAACATTGAAAACATTAACAAACAACCCTGATAATTGTAATATACCATCGTCTGAACAATTATCATCATCTACAAATGAAAAAGAAAAAGAAACTCAGAACTATGATGAACTAATTCAAACAGTGAATAAATTAAGAAAAGCATCTGAAACTATTAAACCAATGTCAACTTCATCAGAGTTAAAACCAAGTGATAAGTATGTTTTAAATTTATTACAGCCTCGTTATCATCTATATTTTTATATATAACATACGGAAACTCATCTTTTGCCTTGACTCGCGATGTTTTCCAGTGGCTAAATCAGAACCTGACATCAACCCATGGAATTATTGACTGTTGAACTAAATCGTCTTGATAAGTCCAAACTACTTGGTTGTGGTCAGTATCGTTATCGTAACCAGTGTTTGAATACATTGGGCGACGTAACTCATAACTGATTACCATGGCTCAAATGTATTCCCTCTTTGTTTTACCTCAGATATTGAGTTCTAAAATTAGCTTATACTTTTCGATCCATAAGATATATTTTTCTTCTCAGTGGGATTGTTTAGGTTTAATTTTTCATATTACCATTAATACTATAACAACCTCTACTAATCTGGGATTTGTCTTGATAATTTTATCTCGTTGTGCTAGTGTGCTAAGGAAACTTAAATCGATGTTCATATGTGCAGATTCTATGTTGCTTACTACTGAATGATAATTAAGGTTATGTTTATTAACATATTTTGTAGAGTCTATCAGGGCTCACATTTATTTCATGATATTCCTTTAAAAATCATTTCATTTAAATTATAATTGGAATTTGTCTCTGACTTCATTTTCAAGAAACAAACAATGAAAACTCGATTCTCAAGATTCCTCTTATTTTTGCAATTTATCTGTATCTCTGCTCGCCTCTCTATTTCAACAAATAAAGTTGAGTAAGACTAACCACAATGAAAGAAGCTGGAAATTTTCACTACAACTACTAGTTTTTAAACAATACCAGGCATAAGTATTTTTACGCAGAGTTAGTGGTTGCTAGTGGAATTCAGTAGGCACGTTTTATCCGATTTCGGACTCGTCAGTTGGATGCTGCTTCATCTTAGTGTTGGTCTCCACTATGACGTTCAAAACCAGTGCTTACTGCTTCAACCACCCAACGAATTGTTCAATAAGATATTGAGTCTACATAACTACTGACTTGTAAGAAAGGCGCCCCCAAATGCCCTGGTACGGCCGAGAGTGGGGAGAGTCCGCTCTCCCTCTCGAAATTCTCTCACATGGCCATGCGTATATAGCCTCTGCCAGGGAAGTCCTACTCACTGCCTTCTCGCAACACGGGTGTTGTTTACGAAAATGAGAGGACGAAAAGCGAATGTCCGGCGCTTTAACCGGATCCCAAACCAATGGTGCACATGGACTCCAGTATCCTGAATAAACAAATGGCGTATGAACCAATCGTTGGTCACCGGCTACCATGGGACTGCATCGCCTCACGATGCTCCACTACCTTGTGGGTCAGACGTTCAGGTCAAAAGCTCGGGGTGTGGCCCCCTAAGAAAACCACCTGCTTCGGTTTGGGCACCCGTGCAGTATCACAGCCCTCACACAAATCAATTGAGATTCGTGTGGCGCATATGTATTTGGTGCCTCCCTGTACCTATACTTATGTGTTAAAATAAATAAATAAATAAATGTAAGAAAGGCGGTGAATTATAATTTTTAAATGACATTTGGATCTTCCTGTTGTTGACGTCAAAGGCTGAAACCAATCCATCCCCTTTAACATTAGGCAGCCTAAGAGAATTACTTTAATATCGCCATTAAGTCATTAGCTTTTTTTGAGCAAGTTGGATGATGGCTAGCATGATTTATCAATAGTTTTCTTTCTGCATGTTAGTTTATTACTACTTTTTTCTTTCAGCTAAACATTTCGATGTTTTCTTTTTAGCGTTGATCAGGCGAATCCGAATGCAGTGAGTTCAGCTATTTCTCATTTCGTTTGATATATATATATAACTGTATTGAAACTTGGAAATACTAGTAAATTATGAGGCCATATTTGTGCAAAAGAATAACTTTTTATGATCTGTTTACTAGGCTCAATTTATATTTCGATTGGTGACAGTTTAGTACTTACTTGCAATGAGTAAATTGAAACATTTACTTTTCTTGTTTCAACTGTGGTTGTTTAAGCTGAAATAAAAAGTACTCATCATCCATTTCAAACCGAAGATCACTGGCAAATACCTCATGATACTGTGTTTTACGACAGGCTAGATCATAAGACAAATACAGTCATTCATCGATAAACACTGTATCGCTCATATTACACCAATTATTAGAAATCAGGAAGCACTAAATAGCTATTTCATTCCTGTATGGAATTCGCAAGTAGTACACATCAACGATCCAACTGGGGATCAAACCCAGGATGTCAAGGTCTTGTGAGAGCGTTTAGACCACTGAGTCATCGTTCACTGGCTTACATTCCCAAATCCAGTCACTTCCCAGAGTTCTAATGAGGAGCTGTAACTAATGGAGTCCAAATATGTTGAGTATGAGATAGCTACTCACTAATGGGATTGAAAGATTGGGTAATTTTCATATTTGATTGTTGTTAGAAATATAAACCAATGAATCGTTTAATTCCTATAGCTAAATTAACATTATTTTTAGTTCTGTTTGGAAGAGTCATTTTTCATTTCGCGAATGCAATTCATATTCCAGTTTAGTTATAGTAATGTAATGAACACTTATGTGTGTCAATACACACATGTATTTATGTTCATAATAATAGTTTATTTACATATTCATGTCACACATTAAACATAAAAATATAGTCACTGTTGTCCTCTCGTCCACAATGTAGAAATATAATTATGCACATCTATCGATCAGGTTGAATGTTACTTGCATATTTACTTTTAACTTGTATCTGTACATGAATTGTGAATATTCAGATAGTTTATAACATGCTAATCGATTCCGACTAGCTAATTTTATTTTGAAGCATACTTATGCACTACATATATCGGTTATTATAAACCAATATATAACAAATTTACTAGTTTCTAAGCCAAGATGGATAAATGCTAACAGTGGAATCCAGGATTCACGGTTCGTTTTATTTAGGACTCGTTAGTTGAGTTTACTGCATCTCAGAGTTGATGTTCACTCAGGGACTCGAACCCAGTACCATTCGCTTCAAACTCCATCGTTCTGATAGCCATTTAATCATTCAATGGAGTGAAGTTTGAATTCACTTGGTATTGTTTACTTGATTCTTCCCATTGATGTTTAGAACTTCAATTGATTAGTCTCTTATTTGCATATATGCAATACGCACAATATACATCAATTAAATGGGAAGATTCAAGTAAACAATACCAAATGAATCTAACTTAATAGTTGATTTTTAAGATTTGATACGGTCAAATACAATATATCACATTTCATCGAACTTTTACGATTTTTGCTTAGTGACTTAGATAATTTTATTGTCTTCATTATAATAAAGGTTAGTTAAATGTCGAATGTGATCAAACCATTATTATTTTTCCCTTTTTTGTGTGGGTGATAAATTCTGACCAAATTTTTCTGAATATATATTCATGAACAAATGTTCTTCGAAGATAATCTATAGTATAATATTATGGTAAACTTGATAAAATCATTATCGTTTATTAAGAATTTATTAAAGATGCCTAAAGTACTTGTAAACTGAAGTGACTTATGTCCAAGTGTTTGTTTTTTTAGCTGAAGTGACAGTGTTTTATAAATATTGATAGAAAAACTGTACAAAAATAAAGCATCACTACATGAAACATTGTAGATGGGATTCATTTCTAGAAATGATAGAATTCCATTCATTCATTAATGTTTTTATCGAAATTAATTTAGTTGATGACTTTCATCCTTTCTTAATATACCTAATTTCTTTTCATTGCATTGTTTTATGCTTATACAGATCCTTGATTATCATGTCATTTATTTCCTACTGAACAGAATTAAATAATCATAACTCATTTCATAATACAGACATGAATTTTTTTTCGATTTATTCACATGAGCAAAAAGAATTAATGCTCTACAAACACATTGGTGTATACTTTTAGTTATCTTTTAGTAAAAGTGACACCGTTATCCTATACTAGGATGAAACAACTGTCCACTGCTTCCAGGTTTTTCATAGTGTTCTAACTTTAAACGACTGATGAATTCAACTATTAAAAATACTACAATCTCCAAAAATCTCTTTTACTGACAATTGTAACAATCGATAATTACATAAAAACTTTTTTGGTTTATCCTCTTTAAGTTCTGAATATCATAAATGCTAAATGCTTGTTTTTCTTCTATAAATTAGCATACATATTCACGTGCATATTATATATATATATATATATATTCTTGTTATTGTTAGACTTTTGGACAATTTACAAAAAATCATTAGTAAAAAATCACCAACTATCTTTAATGTGTGAATGTAGTTACAAGTTAGGAAGAAAAATGAAAAGAAAGAAATATTGTATTTTATTCAGTTCAATTCAATGTATATTGAACTTTGAAATTTCAATATTAGAATTATGATTTAATTTATAATAACGTTTTTATTTTAAAAAAAGAATAGTCAAAATGTCACTCATTTGTTATACTTCTTCTAGTAGTAGTCATAGCAATAATATTTACAATAGTAATAACAATGGTAATACGTACGAATTTGAGTATTAAAATAACACCGATTTTACTTATTAAATTGTCTTCTTAAGTTTAACCTATTTAATTAATATTTCTCTATATCAGTTGAACTATAGATTTTAAATGAAAATGTAAATAGGTATTTAGTTAGTGAAACTTTAATATTATCTAAGTGATCTGGCATAGAATTATATGACTATCTGATTCAAAAAAATAATAATAATGTTAACAGAAGCATTGGTAAAGTTCATAATGACAAAGTTAAGTGACAATATTGATTCCGAATAACTATATTGTAATGTGTATATGGTGAAATTCTTTGTTAGCTGTTTAACATTATATTAGTTTCAAGGATATTAGAATTATTTTACATTATGTATACAATGTACAGTTATTTTCATAACGATAAACCTTAACTTCCGTCCAAAACTATCATGTACTTATGGTTGTTTCTTTCTGAGGTTTGTTCTTGAGTATAAATGGTTAAAATAAATAACGTAATGAAGGCAAATTCGATCTTTTGTTTACGAATAATTTAAATATAGATTTTTATGCTTCATTGAATAAATCATCGGTGTTGTATAACTTAATGTAAACGAATGATTTGATCTATCGTTTCAAATCTTATTTTAAATTTTTCCTGAGTAAGATGGTTTTATTCAGTTCGTTTGTCTATTTCGATGTGATTCAGTGGATTGAGCAGTTCAAATATCTTGTTAAAGTTTTAATAACTTCATTGATCTGATTCTATTCATATAGCCGAACATTTCATCACTAATTATACAAAGGTCTTAATTTTATTAAATACACGAATCTTTAATTGGTTAGGGAGCTGTTTTCAATTCAAGTATAAATTAAAAAGACAGTGGTTCATTTCTGTTTCAGCATTAGTAAAGTTCGAATAAAACGTATTCTACAAAAACCCATGACAATCTTATATTGGATACGGAGGGTTAGTGTAGATAAGTTCAACCTTCTCGATATATAGATATAGTACATTAATAATACCGTTGTTTTCATTTATGTTTAACGTAGATCAATAATATTCATCTAAAATAAAATTCACTATTAGTCACAATTCAGACAATAGCTCACAAACGTCTAGAAAAAATGGTTTAATCAAAGTATCATTTTTGTATATAGACTTTCACATGAAAGACCAAAACAAATTATTAAACCGACTAAATACTAGATAGACATATTTATTAGTACAGACATGTGAATTTCTGTGTTCCTGTTTATCATTTCAGACTTATCATTTAGTGTGGCCAAGGCAAACAATAATAATTAATAACCCACAGGAAATATAATGATGAAACTAGTATTCTGCAAAAGCGATACGCATAATTTACCTTTGAAATTTTCAATCTCAATCTCAACTGATTCAGTAATATTATTCAGTACCATTAAGTGTGAATTAGTTTAAAATCCTAGATAGAAAATACTAATATCCTCTGGAACTAGGGTATTCTATCTAAGAATAACCATAACTTTGTCTTACAACTGGAGTTCTGAAATTATCAGTATCAACAGGTTTTGATGCAACGATACATTCACCTATTTTCGCTCCATTGTGTTTTTAAATGGTTGAAGGCAGTTGGTAGTATACCTTTGACTTAGGTTTCACCCTAGTTATCACTCATCATTAATATGTACCTGAATCCTTAAAGGGACTAATAACCTCTGTGGGATTGAAACCAGCATCATCCAGCTTCACAGTCTGAGACATTAATACCGAGCTGCTCAGTTTACAACTGACCTCCTGTAGAACCGAGATATTTGAAATTAATTAATCATCATGTAGTCTCCGATCTTCTGTTGTTCTAGTACCTTAGTGCTGATCAGTTTCTATTAAACAAGTTGAAAAGCGATATGTAGAAATGTAGTAAATGAGAATAATCTAAAGCTTTAGTGCCCATTTATTTAGTGTTTTAGATTGTGAACTTTCATTAATGTGACTTTATTGGTTTGCTTAGAACTTTCTTAAACCGATGTTATTTGAACGAATGTAATAAAAACTATTTTATGTGTGCACGATCAAACTAACGGGAAAAACGAACGAAATTGTTTACTTTAAAATATTTTTGATGTAATTATTGTTTGCGGCTATTTATTTTCTTTCAATACGAAGGAGAACCATGCATTAAATGATTTCTATCATGTTCATTTAGATTGAAAGGTCATGTAAGTCGAATCAAATAAATTCCGCTAAAAATCAAAATAAATATATTTCATATAGGTCATACACCTGATAATGGTAAACAAGCGTTAGCTA